GTGGGAGGGGCAGGCCTGGGCCCTTACAGTGCGGTGGCCCTCAGGGTAAGTATCTTGGGGCCTCTGTCCGGCCCTCATGGCATATGGGGTCCCTGGCCTGAGGTGTCAACGGTGGGTCCAGGCCCCACCATGGGAGGCCGAGGGGGTAGGAGGGTCCAGCCTAAGCCATCTAGCCCTCACCTGCCTCTCTTGCTTCCTGTAGTAATTTCTATGCAGTCACCAACCCACAGGAATGGAGCACACACTCGGCTAGCCCAGCTCGGCCCAGAGCACAGGAGGTGCCACCCGGCTGCCACTGGATGTTGCTCACCCACGTCCTCCCCTTGGCGATGGTCACTGACACTCCGGGCTGCAGTGCGATTGCCCCCGGCTCCGTCACCCACCTGCGCCTGTGATACTGTGAACCTCCCTGAGTCTCCAATCACATATTTATTTTGGGTCCTTACTCTTCTCACGCAGACAACAGCACGTGAGTGCTGTTTTGGGGAAAAGAAAAGAAAAAAGAAAAGAACAGTGGAAAAAGAAGCAGCTCCATTCCAAGTACTTTTTAGTTCTTTGCTACGCTTGCATGCGTCTCACTGAGGGCATAAGACCCATCTGTTGCAGACCCCTCTCTGACTGTCTGCAGGTGCCGCCCAGCTCCACCTTTGTCTCAGATGGGGCACCTAGGAGCCAGAGCCACCAGACCCGCCCTGGTCCCTGGGGCACCTCTGGAGGCCACCCACTCAGCAGCTGCTCTTCGCTCAGGTCTGTGAGCTGGACCCCTGTCCTCGGGGGAAGCCGACTGGTGGTCCAGGGGTGGCTCACCACCCTGCTGACCCCTCAATCTCTCAGCATCTGTTTCCCACCATGCCTTCCTCCCAGGCGACTTGGGGGCAGAAGTAGCCAGGCAGTGACGAGAATACAGACATAGGACTGCCCCTCTTGGTGGAGCTCAGGGCTGTCGGCATGTCTCTCATCCACACGGACTGCTCAGTGTCTGGAAGACAGGGCCCAGGTGATGGAGACAGCCTTTCAAAGCAGGCTTTCCAGAACATCCAACTCTGAGAGGAAGCACCTGGGCCCTCAGCCACAGGACTCCCGGAGAGCTCGTGTCCTGGAGCAGGGGCCCTCCCCCGTGCAGGGACAGGGCCCAGGGAGCCAGACTGTCCTGCAAGAGTTCCCCCGGACTGGGGTGGGAAGCCTCTCTCATTTTTCCATGATGACGATGCCTGCACTGACTAAAGGATAGGGGAAGAAGTTCTTCATGGAAAACAAGACTTTTTTTTTGTCATCTTCAGCAGGGGCAGCCATTCCTGGCCTTAGAGCTCCAGTGAGTGGCCACCAGGTTACCCTGCTGTGTCCAGAGAAGGCTGCTGGGACCAACGGCTTTGCAGGGCTTCTCCCTCCCCCACCTAGACACACTCGCACCGCCTAAAGTGAGCAGTGATGGCTGTCCCTCTGCACTCTGCAGACCCACACCGACTCGGTCCCACATGGGAGGAGCTGGGGACTGGCTCAGAGTGAAGCCACACCTTTTGGAAGAATTTCTCCCCAGCCCCTGCCTCCCTGGTGGAGCCTGAGACAGCCAGACGACCCGCCGATCCAGGAATCTGATTTTCTCAGTTCTTTCAGGCTGTGTAAGCTGTTGCTCCTCCCTGCCATGCAGGTCCCTTGTCCCACCGCAGACAGCCTGCTGTGGGGACCCTGCTAGTCTGGCTCTTCTCCAGAGGATGAGGCTGCACCCCAAGAGCTGTCCTCTCATTGTCAGTATGGGAGCAGCACCCCAGCTCTGAGCAGGGCCATGGGGGACACTCCATACAGCCTGGGGAAAGGCACCCTCAGAGGACCCGTCAGAATAAGCTTGCAGGTGGCTCAAACAAGAAGCAAAAACAGCATCCTCTCTCTCCTGCCCAAGGAGTATTTGTCCAGACCCTGGGGAGCACCCTCATCTGGACTGCAGACTGGTGCCTGTCTACAGGCACCATGGCCACGTGCCACGAGTCTCCAGTCTGTCCCTGACCAGTCCCACCAAGAGGGAAGGCAGGCAGAGCTCAAAAGGCACACATCAGACCTGGAAGATTAACAGGGACTGTTGTGTCACCCAAATGCCAACGTGAGAGTCCTCACACAGGCCCCTAGAGACCCGGACCCAGAGACGTCCTGAGCCCTGGTAGAGATGACCAGCACAGCAGCCCAGTCCTGGAGTGGTGGGCTCTGCATCCAGGGTGTCCTTGGCTGGGGTATCTGGAGCTATAGGAGCGAGGAGGGGAGCTGCCTGCGTGGCCCCATGAGGTCCCAGGTTCCTGCTGGGTCCCTTGGGCTTCCCTGAATGAATCACAGAACAAATGTGCTGGTCAGATGCTGACTCATAGGAGTAATTCACAAACCTCTGGATATGACATTTCTTTTTTTGTTTTAAGTCAGGAAGACCCTTTTGGAGACCCATTTTGTGTTGTGTTATTTGTCCCAGGACTGGGCAGGGGAGCAGGAAGGCAAGACCTTATTTATAACTGTGTACTGAACTCATGGCCTTCCTCATACCCCTGACCAGGAAGGCCCTGGACCCACCCAGCTGTCACCCTGCCCTGCCCCCCCCCCCACAGTCCTCCAGATGGAAATCTGTAAATTGCCCTGTTTCCCTCCTGGCTCATTTCTGATGGCCGCTGTCACTGAGAATGTGAGCAGTGTCTGATTTGCTGTACTGTAAAAACAAAAGGCATTTCCTGAGGCTGACAAGGGGGAGCCTTCTGTGAGTCCCCTGCCAGCCTCCTCTCGACCCCTTTGTCTCCACCACCTGGCTCAGTGCAATACTCCCATCCCTGATGGGGTCTCTTGCCATGGTACTGTCGCCGCAGCCCCTCGGTCCCCATCCCAACTTTGTTTTTATGGCTGAACTGATTTCAAAACACATTGTAACTGCAAACCTTGTGTGTCTTAATTCTTACCGGGGCTTCCGCGTGCTCAGCCCCGGATCTGGTATGTGACAATCTGGAGTGCAGCCTCCTGTGGGCGCCTCTGTAACCTTGTAGCCGCTGCTGGCCCTGATAACACTCGTATGCAGCCCCGGGCCCTGCCCCTGCCTCCCCTTCCTCTTTTTATGTTGAAAGATCTCTCTAATAAATTGGGTAATAAGTATCCGCTGCCTCTTTGCCTCTCCGTGTTCCTGTAGTCTGGTGGGGAGCTTGAGGACTGACTGTGAACGAGAACAAAAAGAAACCCTCGTCCTGGCTGGCGTAGCTCAGTGGATTGAGCACGGGCTGCAAACCAAAGCATCGCAGGTTCAATTCCCAGTCAGGGCACATGCCTGGGTTGCAGGCCATGGCCCCTAACAACCGCACATTGATGTTTCTCTCTCTCTCTCTCTCTCTCTCTCTCTCTCTCTCTCTCTCTCTCCCTCTCTAAAAATAAATAAATAAATCTTAAAAAAAAAAAAAGAAAAAGAAACCTCGAAGGTTTAAAAGAACAACAAGACCCAAATGTCTTCATTGCCTGATCGCTAGGTGTGGCCTCCTGGATTCCAGATCAGCCACACAAAAAAAAACTTTTAAAAGGTTCTCACGTCAGTACAGTCCAGTGCAAAGGAACAAACACTCCCCAAGGTTTGTATTCTGCCAGAAGGCACGTATTGAGTAATGCATGGACCCCATGTAAGGGGTAAATACTTCTCTCAGATTCCCAGTCTAAGAACTGAGTCGAAAGTCAGATCCTGTCTTTAAGATCCTTTGGAAACCCAGTTACAATCACAGATGCAGATGCAAGGCGCCTCCGCTCATGTATAAACTAGACGCGCATATGATCTGGAAGGTGCCTTCCTTACAGGGCAGACACTCTCATGGAAGCACCTGCAGTTTGAAGGTCTCAGGGCCAGGCCCCCTCATGTGTTGAGCCATCCCCTCAGCAGCACAACCCACGTCCCGTGACAAGCAGGGTTGTCATCAGGGTGATGGGAGGTGGTCTTCTGTTGTTTCCTTTGGAAGACTCATTATGTGCCACCGCCCCACCCTGCACCTTGGTACCAAGCAAAAGCAGAACATTCAAAAACAGGATTGAGGGTGGTGTTATGAAGCTATATTTTAAAATAGTTAAAAGAACTACCTTAAAATATTAAGTACCATCCTCTGGTGGGCTAGAGGAGCTTGGAGCAGGTCTTCAGGACCCTCCAGATCTCCGGGCCTCCCTTCCTGTGCCCTGTGGCCTATCATCCCGACCATCCCCAGGGGGACTCCCCTACTGGCCAATCCCACCTTTATCCGTCCCACAGAACAAAGCTGGACCACCCAGTTCAAATTGCAGCTGCCTCTTTGGGGTCGAGGAATGGGTGTTTAAGGCACTTTCCCGCTCTGGGCCTGTTTATCCATTTATAGAATCCATTTATAGAATGGGCTGAAAGGAAACTAAGGGAGTCATCCAAGATTTTTTTAATTTAATCCCTGAAACCCATAGGTATTCACTGGTGGATGGTGGAGCATGATAGTCTCATAAAAGGTCAGTCCAACATGTGATACTTTGCAGTTTCCGTCCCAGCTCCCACTCTTCGCTCTCTTGAGGGGTCTGGACTCGAACCTATGACCTTAGTGCTTCTGTGCCTGCTCAGGCCAAGGGACCTCACTCCCACGACAGGTCTCCTCTAGGTCCAGACCAAAAGGCTCCACCTACCTCCTGAGCCCGCCCCTTCTTGGTACCGCCTCCCCAGGCCCCGCCCTACTAGCAGTTCCTGTTTCGTCTTTGCTCCGCGCGTAGCTCGTCGGGATTCCTATCCTAAGACCCGAGGACCCACTTGGAACTGCCCCTAGCATTGCCTGAAGGGCGAGTCCCAGACCCTGAAGGCCACAGTCCGTCTGGAGTCTATAACGCAGACCACGTTTGCAGGCGGTGGGAGGTTTACAAGGCATCAGAGTCCTTGCGGGTAGGGTGGCGGGATGGGTTCCTATCTCCTGGATCAGGCTCCGATGGGGCAGCCTGGCACGCGCCGTGATCTAGGAAGGCCCCCGAATCAGGACCCGGATATTTTTGTCAACGCCGCTTCCACCGTCCCAGCCCATGGGTCGAGACACACGCTCGCGCTCGCGGTCAGCGTGTCGCAGGGGTCGCAAGGGCCGGAGACAGCGGAGCCGGAGCGGGAGTCGGAGCCGAAATCGGAGTGGGAGCCATGGGCGGCGAAACAGGCGGCGCCGGGACGGCGAAGGGCGACGGAGGCGTCGAAGCCGGGAGCGAAGGTGGGGTCACTGCGTGAGCAGCGGCTGGGAACCGTCTCCTGCCCTGGGGAGAGGGGTTAGTCAGGGAGGGCGTTCTGGAGAAGGGGTCATCAGATAGCGAAAGGAAAGCGAGAGGTATTCCTGGCAGGGCACCCCATGTTTGGAGGGACATCAAGGAGCCCAGTGAGCGAGGCAGGTGACGAAAGTAATGGGAGACCAGATCGTGCAGATTCTTGCGTATCGTGGTGAGGGTTTGGCCGTTATTCGTAGAGAAGTAGGAGGCCACGGGAGCATTTTGAACAGTGGAGTGACTTGGTCTGACTTTGCAGAACTCCCTCCAGCTTTCACGGAGAAGGGACTGACTGAGGGGGTAGGCAGTAGTGATACCAGGGAAGAGGTCGGAGGTAGAGGTTACGGTTGTCCAGGCAACAGATGATGGTGGCTTTCACGAGAGGGAGGCACAATGAGAGGTGGGTAGATTTGAGTGGGGTGTCAGAAGTAGAGGTGACAACACTGGCTCAGGGAGGTGGGTGTGAGAGGGAAGAGCGGTTGAGGACAGGTGGCAGCACTTAGCTGACTCCTAGGACCTGGGTCTCAGCTTCCGCATGACCCACAGCCCTTCTGGATATGGGGCACCTTGCCAGACTTGGCTTGAGTCTGTTTAAGCACATAGGAACCAGCACAGCAGTGGTGACTGACTCCGAGACTTGGTGCCAGTGCTGGCTCATCCCCTAACAGGCTGTGACACTCAGGCCATTCTCTTCCCCTCTGTGACCCAAGGTTACTCATCTGTGTCCTCAAGATTTCCATGGGGCCTCTCCAGACATTCATTGTCCCCATTCTACGGCCCAGCAATTTTCACCCTTTCCATCTCATGGCACACACAAACTAATCACGAAAATTCTGCACCATCCCCAAAAAATACATTTTTTGCTGATCTGACCCCCCAAAAATGAGTATAATTTTGATTTCATTCACACTGGATGGCTGTTGTGTTGGCTGTTGTCATTTTTTTTTTAAAGATTGTATTTACTTATTTTTAGAGAGAGGGGAAGGGAGGGAGAAAGGGAGAGAAACATCAACGTGCAAGAGATACATCAAATAGTTGCTTCACCCAAGTCCCCAGCTGGGGACCTGGCCTGCAGCTGCAGCCCAGGCATGTGCCCTGACTGGGAACCAAACTGGGAACCTTTGGGTTCACAGGCCAGCACTTAATCCACTGAGCCACACCAGCCAGGGCTGTTGTCGTTCTTTCCTTTGACACTCTAAGGGAAAAGAGGTCAGAGCCCCCAACTAAATAGTCAGGTATTGCGTGTTTTAAAAATTCTTGCAGCACACGGGTTGCATATCGCAGCTCCAGCCTGTTCTCTGCACCATAGCCAGAATAGTGTGGTCAGACAGGCTGATGGCCCTCGAGGCCGAGAAGGTTGCGTTCCCATTTTAGTCTCCTAAGATCGCTGCTGCCCAGGAATTCCAGGAAGCTTTAAAGAGCAGAACAAATAACAAAGAGGCGATTTAAACCAGGGCTTGGTCACTACAGCCTATGACCAAGAATAGTTTTTACATCTGGAAACAGTAAGGAAAACTGAAAGGAGCAGTATCTTGTGACATGGGAAAATTATATGAAATTCAAATGTTGGTGTCCAGAAATAACATTGTACTTGAACACAGCCGTGCCCATTTGTTCACAGACGTTCCACAACTGCTTTGCACTAAATAGCAGAGCTGATTTTTTTACAGAAAAAAAATTCACTAACCCTGGATTAAGGCCCTAGTGTTGGTACTTTAACTCCCATGGAGCAGAATGTCTTATTATCGTCATCTTTGTATTTTCTTGTATAGTGTTTTCTAGTGTTGGAATTATTCATAAGAATCAACCACCCTAGATATGTAATTAATATTGTTTATAAAAATCTGATTTATAGTCCATGTTCAAGGGCTCCAAAATAAGATCTGGATTTCATAGATCAGATTTTTTGACATGAGCTTAACAGGTGGAACATTTAACAAGGTAAAGACAGATTTAGTTTTCCCTTTCCTTGTTCAAAGCCTCTAGACACTGAAGAACCCATTCCTGGGGGCTTGGCCATTCTGTTCTCTATTCCCAGTGCCCTCCCCTTGCCCTTTATTGCTGCCAATTTTACTCCGGTTCACTCCTGCCCATCCTGTATGACTAGTTTAAACACCACCTTCTACTGTATGCTCTCTCTTGACAGCTTGGAGAGCTCAGATCCTCCGGTTAAAACACCTATATAACCTTCTACCATCCAGCCCCAGCCTGCCTCCGTGCCCTCATCCCCCTCACTCTCCCTCTGCTCTGGCCACGTGGGCCTCCTTGCTGCTCCTTGCACATGCCAAATAAATTCCTGCCCCAATGCCTTTGCTCTTGCTGTGCCCTCCGCCTGGATCACCCACCACCCAGATCTCTCCGTAGCTTCCTCCCCAGCTCCCTCCAGAGTTACCGCTTCAGGGAGACCCTCTCTGACCTTCTGACTTTCTGTCCCCTAATTTTATGTCATTTCTTTGTGGCTCAGAGCACTATCAGTGTCACACCGTGTGTTTACTTGTTGGTGTGAGCCCCACAAAGAAAGGGACCATCAGTGTTTTGGTCGCTGCTATGTTCTTGGGACCTACAGCGGTGGCTGGCGCACAGCAGGAGCTCACTGCACAGAGGCTGAACAAATGACTGGCCCGCAGGCTGTGAGCAGACCCTCTCGGATTCCTTCCCCAGGTCAGATTCAGAGGAAGACCACTGGCAGCGGCGAGGACGGCAGAGCCGGAGCCCACAGCCACCCCGATGGCATGCACAGGACCAGTCCTCTCAGTCCGACTCAGGCAACGAGCAGCATTGGCAGCAGCGGGACCGCCGCCGTCGGACCCGCTCCTGGTTCCGGGGCTCCTCTTCCTCCAGCTCCGGGTCCCCACACCGCTCCCAGAGCCCTCGGGAGGTGGCCGAGGCCCTGAGCCAGCAACAGAGCCTACAGGAGCGGCTGCGGCTCCGCGAGGAACGGAAGCAGCAGGCGGAGCTGATGAAAGCCTTTGAGACACCCGAGGAGAAGCGGGCCCGGCGGCTGGCCAAGAAGGAGGCCAAGGAGAGGAAGAAGCGGGAGAAGATGGGCTGGGGCGAGGAGTACATGGGCTACACCAACACCGACAACCCCTTCGGCGACAACAACCTCCTGGGTACTTTCATCTGGAATAAGGTGAGCCAGTCTTATGAAGCGCCTGGTGATTAGTTGGTATTTGTGCCATTCGCAAATTTTTCCTTCCTTTTAAGAGCTTTCTGATTTTTATTTTATATAGCCTCTACAACTTTTATTTCAAGAGATGTTATTTAGCAGTCACAGCACACATTTCCCAGACTGCCCCTTGCCATGTGCAGTTTATCTTACACACATGTGAGCGTGTGCATGCACACACACACACCAGTTCTGGCAGCTTTTATTCTGATAACTGCCTCTCGCCATGTAATATCCCAGGCATGCTTTGCCCCAGAAGCCAGTCTGACCGCGCCCTGGCCGGGTGGCTCAGTTGGGTGGAGCGTTGTCCTGTTCACCGAAAAGGGTGTGACTCGATCCCTGGTCAGGGCATGTGCCCAGGTTGTGGGTTTGATCATCAGTCAGGGTGCGTACAGGAGGCAGCTGATCAATGTTTCTCTCCCTCTCCTTTCCTTTTTCTCTAAAATGGATTTAAAAAAGAACACCACCAAACATATGCTCAGGTGAGGATTAAAATAAGGTAATTAAAACAAAAAACAAAGGAGCCTAGCCTCAATAAGACTGGAGAACAGGTTCCTAGAATCACACGCCAGATGGGATTCCACAGTTACACTTTGTCAGCTCAGAGCTGTCATTTCACTCTCGAAATGACACTTACACATTGATCCCCTACCCTGCAGTCATGGCCTGCGGCACGTGGCTGAAAACAACAGGATTTTCTCCTGCGGCTCTGGAGGCCAGAAGTCTGAAATCAAGGCATCAGCAGGGCCTCCTCCCTTGGGAGGGCTGGGGAAGGACCCTTCTTGTCTCTTCCAGCTTCTGATTACTGGCACCCCTGGCTAGTGGGGTGACAGTAACCAGTGTGTTGTGGCCACGTCACTCCAGTCTCTGCCTCTGTGGTCGCACAGCTGTCTTCCCTCTGCGTCTTTGTCCTCACATGGCGTTATCCTCTGCATGTCTGTGTCTGAGTTTCTCTCTCCCTGTAAGGACACCAGTCATTGGATTGGGGCCCTGTCTAACCCCATGTGACCTCATCCTAGTTACATCTGCAGAGACTCCTCTTCTGAATAAGGTCACATTCACAGTTTCCAGGTGTTGAGACAAGAGCATATCTTTTGGGGGGACACAGTTAACACAACACAGCACCCATTGGTGGTGAGGGAGGGTGAGGGTAGGTGGGCAGAGTTAGAAGCTTGGGTGTCTCCACCCATCGCCCACACTTCAGGCCTGGTTTCGTGCCGCTGTCCTGACCGCACCAAGTCCATTCTACCTCGGCCTTTGTGCTCGCCATTCCTCTGCCCGAGAACACCCCCTGCATCTTCCATGGCCAGTTCTTTCTCGTCCTTCAGGTCTCAGCTGACATGGTGCCCCTTCCGACAGGCCTTCCTGGCCCCCTCGGTCCCCTAGGTCCCCCTGGTATTCTTTTTTTTTTTTTTTTTTCCTTTTAAAGATTTTATCTATATTTAGAGCAAGGGGAAGGGAAGGAAAAAGAGAGGGAAACATCAGTGTGTGGTTGCTTTTCGAGTGCCCCCTACTGGGGACCTGGCCTACAACCCAGCCATATGCCCTGACTGGGAATTGAACCAGCAGCCCTTTGGTTCACAGGCTGGTGCTCAATCCACTGAGCCACCCCAGCCAGGGCCCCCTGGTATTCTTTATCAGAGCACAGCCCCTGCTTTCCTAGCACTTTGCTAACAAACTTACATCCTGCACCTGCTGGGTGCTGGGCGCCGCATTCTGCGTGGGCCCTGGGCATGCACCTACAGGCAAAGGTCCCTACCCCTGTGAGACCAGCAGTTTTGTGGGGAGATGAACTGTAATAAGTAAGTTAGCAAAGTTCATAGAGGAGAGAACGAAGGCAGGCACTGGGATGCAGCGGTGACCACGGTGCCATAAGCAGGCCCAAAAGGGTCTCCCTGCGTAAGCGGTGTCCAAATACACATCCTGCCCTGGCCGGTGTGGCTCAGTCGGTTGGAGCGTCACCCCATAACTGAAAGGTTGCACGTTCGATCCCCCGTCTAGGTACCTGTGATCCCTAGTCTAGGCACATAGGGAGGCAACCGATCGAGGTTTCTCTTTCTCCTTTCCTGTCTCTCTAAAAGCAATGAAAAAAATGTTCTCCGGTGAGGATAGAAATAAGCTTCACAGGCAAGGTCTGTCCCAAGGCCTACACGCAATAGGCGCTCCCTAAGTGCAAAGGGAGTGTGGTTGGTGTGTGCGTATGCGTGTTCAGGCATTTCCCAGTCAGTCTTTCTCAGCCCAGCCCAGCCTTGGGGGTTCACCCCATGGGAAGGCTTCACCACACACACAGCTGGTGCAGCCAGGTGTCTGTGTGAAACAAGAGTCAGCAGGTCCCAAGTGAGACTGTCCTGGGAGCCCCACAGGAGTGGGCCCAGCTGCCTCTTCTCCGTGGTCTGGCACGCGTCTCACTCACAGCAGAGGGGGCTTCGTAGTTTGGATTGTATCAGATTGATTTTGTAGGCGGGAGTGGAGGGCGTCTTCTAGTGAAAGGTGCTGAGGTATACCCAGGGACGGGTCCCTTCTCTTAGCTTCACTCTCCTCACCTGCAAAGCAGATGCTGTGGTCCAGTCACCTCAGTCGTATACATGAGTGCACCCAAGCTCCCTCATGGTAGGTTCCAGGGAGGGCAGCAGGAGGGAGGCACCTCTGCTCAGCAGGCTTGTGGTTGGTCCTTCCAGGCCCTGGAGAAGAAGGGGATCAGCCACCTGGAGGAGAAGGAGCTGAAGGAGCGGAACAAGAGGATCCAGGAGGACAATCGACTGGAGCTGCAGAAGGTGGGGGTGCCGTTGGTCTGTCCACATGGGGTCAGGAGGCCTTCTCTCATAGGGGCCCCGAGGCTGGTTTCCCCTTGTTTAAGTCAAACAGGACCTGATTGGCTCTTGTGGAAAGTCCAGGGGATGCTGGCTTTAGGTGCCGCTGGATTCAGGGACTCAGGCAGTGTGTCCAGTAAGCTGTTCCTCTTCACCTTGGCTCTGCTGGCCTTTGGGCTTTACTCTCAAACCTCTCCTAGGGTCTGTCTGAAATCTCAGGCATTCCTGGACCAATCCCTGTGTCTAGGGCTGGTGGGCTGGGGCCAGGCATGGGTTATAGTCCCAGCCCTGACCCTAGGGGGCCCCGTGGCCTGAGAGGACACAGGACAGGCTCCACAGGCCCCCAGTCATCCAACCGTCTTACCTTTGTCTTCTCTGTGCACTCCCCAGGTGAAGCAGCTGAGGCTGGAGCGGGAGCGGGAGAAGGCCATGCGTGAGCAGGAGCTGGAGATGCTGCAGCGGGAGAAGGAGGCAGAACACTTCAAGACATGGGAGGAGCAGGAGGACAACTTCCACCTCCAGCAGGCCAAACTTCGGTGCTCCGCAGGGACAAGGGTCGGGGGAGGGTGCCCACCACCACCCTGCATCCACCTGCCTTCACTCACCAGCGTGCTCCTGGACCCGGACACATGGAACCTGTTTCTGCCCCAGGGGCTTTGCACTTGCTAGTCATGCTTTCCACAACCTGCTGTCCCAGCTGCACCCCTCTCACCCTCTGGGTTTCTGCCTTTGGCCTCTTTCTGACGCTAGACCTGTTGCTGGGGTGTCCCCATCTCCCCCAGTGGACTGGGTACAAAGGCGACCCCAGTGCACCAGCTCCATGTGGTAGAACTGCACAAGCTGAGTAGAGTGTGCCAGGCCCTGGGCCGCGCTGACTGCTAGTCCCTCACCCGCAGCCCATAGGGGTGTTTGCTCATCGGCCGCATTTGTAGACAAGGAAAATGAGACCCCTGGGCATTGTGAGTTGTCTGAGGCCACGTGGGCATCCGAGCCTGCAGGCAAGTATGTGTGCACTCAGAGCCCACCCCTGGCCCCTTCCTAGTCCTCCTTCCTGCCGGCCATACCGTTCCTGGCCAGCAGCCCAGACCTCCCTCATCACGGGCCCCTCAGGTCAGACTAGGGTCAGCCACTGATGTGCCCCTGTGGGCATAGCACTGAGGCTCCAGATCTTCCAGTCTGCGCAGCCCGTCCGCTGAGAAGAGGCAGTTCTCTCTGACCCTCTGGCCCCACTCCCACTCACTGCTCTTCAGACCCCATGCTCACTCTGGCGCCTGCCCCTTTCTGGGCCTGGGCCTCCTGGCCAGCCTGTCTTCTGCACCTGATTCTACCCCTTTCAGGAAGCCTTCCCTGACCACCAACTCCTGCAGGCCAGGTTCCTCCCCAGCTCCTACACCTGTCACCCACGTGGGCAGGAATTTGGGAGGGAGGTCACAGTCCGAGCTCTAACACCACCCCTCTGCTCCCAATAGCTCCAAGATTCGAATCCGGGACGGACGGGCCAAGCCCATTGACCTGCTGGCCAAGTATATCAGCGCCGAGGACGATGACCTGGCTGTGGAGATGCATGAGCCTTACACCTTCCTCAATGGCCTCACGGTGGCTGACATGGAAGACCTGCTGGAGGACATCCAGGTACTGCCTGGCTCCACTACCCACCTCCTTGGCCTCCCCAAGATGGACCTTCGCCGCACACCTTTGTGCCTCTCCCTCCAGGTATACATGGAACTCGAGCAGGGCAAGAACGTGGACTTCTGGAGGGACATGACCATCATCACGGAGGATGAGATCTCTAAGCTGCGCAAGCTGGAGGCCTCGGGCAAGGGTCCAGGTAACACAGGATCAGCGCCCACCCTGAGCTGGCTGAACAGAAAGACACCAGGGTGTGCTCTTGGGGACACATATCTGCATTGGTGGGAGTTGCCAAGGCCGGGTGATTCCACGAGAAGCTAGCCTCTGGTGCTCTGCAGACCTCAGTTTGGGCTCTTTACAGCCCTCTGTAGACCTCTGTGGGAGCCACCAGGGGGCAGCACTGGGCAGTGCGAGCCCCAGGTCCTGGGCCAGGGCTCTCCTGATGGGATGGCAGGGGCCATCAGTGCTGGGCTTCCCTGGGAGCAGCACCAGCAAGGGCTTTTCTCTGTGGGTTTCAGGTTTTCTCCGGAGGCTCAGTCTGAGTGAGAGCAGGGTGCAGCTCTGCTTGGTCAGAAACCCTGTGCAACCCCAGTGTGTTCAACCTGGCGTTTTTTTTAACTCAATTTTCTTTTCCTCAAAGTGGTTGCACGTGTACATTCACGAGGGAAGTGAACTCCCCAGACAGGGCCCATAGTCGCCTGGGGGCAGAATTGCTCCAGCTGAGAACCACTACTCTGAAAGCTCAGACCAGCCACCACATGCTCACCCCTCGCGTCCCCTGAAGCCACCGGCTTTCATGACTCCAGCTTCTGTGAGCCTCGTGTCCCTGTTGCTAATCTTCATCCTTCATCACCCACCCTGGTAGCTAAGGACGTGAGCCCTCCCTTCCGCCTAGCCTGTATAAATACCATTTGTAGTTCAGACGCGGGTCGGGACAGCTTCCTTCCTCTCAACGAAAAGGCGAGTGTCTTTTGTTTCTGTAAGTGCAGTTTTGTTTCTCATGTCCTCTTAGCAGCTACATCCTGGAGCAGCTTCCGGAGAGAGGAAGGGAAGCTTTGCTGTCAGAGATGAGTGTCTGGGAACTCTCCTTTGGTGGCAGTAGGACTGGGTATAGAGCTGGTCGGAAGGGTGCCGTGGGGCTGGCGGGCAGAGTAACAGTTACAGGCGCGGCTCTGGGTGCACATCCAGGCCACTGGGCAGCTCGGTGACCTTGGCTGGTCAGCCGCCTCCTGGGTGCCCGGTTGTACCTTTTGTAGTGTAGGGGTGATAAAACCCCTCGAGGAGGGTTCAGTGACAAGAAATGAGTAAACAGTGTGAGGCGCTGGGGACCACGTATACACACGTGACACTGCTGGCCCGCCGCCGCCCCAGCCCCCCAGCCGAACCGTGGAGGCGCTCGGCACATTGAGTAGCCTTGAGGCTTCCTTTTTCTTGTGCCCGAGCCCTCTCTCTCCCATCCCACAAGGTGGTGGGTTGGTCTCTGCCACCCCCTGGGTCTCCCTTCATTTTCTTCAATGAGGGAGGCCCTCTTTGTGGGACCCCACGTCTCTTTGTTGTGGTTTGCACTCTCGTCTTGGCGGGGCACATTCCCCGCAACTTCCGGAGGAGGGCAGGCGGTTCTCTGCGGTCCTGTGTGTCAGGGAGCGCTTCGCTCTCCCTCCGCTGCTGGCCGCGGGGCTGGATGCAGACTTTGGGAGTAGGGCGTGTTCTCGAGAGCCTGAAACCCCCGCTCCAGTGGCTAAAGGGACATTGCATGTGTCTGCCCACTTCCAGGGCTCTCTCAGGGGATGTTTGGGTGGCACCCGGGCCTAAGATATGGCTTCCTTTACACATGTCTTAGCAGTTCTTGGCTTCTCTGGGAGCAGCACCCTCGGGGCTGTCTGGGCTGTAAGTTTTCACTGGTGGCTCCATCTCTCAGTGAGGGCAGGACTCGGTTCTGCTTGGCCTGGAATGGGGATTCTTGCTGAGTTTGGTTTTGCTCCCGTGACGTTTTTACACCTGTCACAGACCAAGGCCAGGCTGCTAGCCCATAGGTTGGCCACTGGGCCGGGGACCCGGGTCCCTTTCACTCCTGTCCGGTCGACTGTGACCGTGTGTCCAGCGGCAGGGGTTCTTGAATCCTACTTTTGAGCAGGGAGCATGAGCTGATCACCCACTCCCTCATTCACCCAGCAGCTGTGTACGGAGTTCCCCGTGGACCAGCCCAGTGCTGGGAACACAGCAGTGGGAAGCCCAGGGAGGTCCCTGCCCTTGGGAAGCCATGTATCAGGTGTGCAGCCTAAGGGGTCAATCTGGTGATGAGGGAAGGCTTCCTGATAGAAGGTGTGTTCTTGCTGAGTGCTGAGGATGGGTACTGCTGATAGAGAGTATATGTGCAAAGGCCCTGGGGCACAGGGTGTGCTTGGCATGTTTGATGAGCAGCCGAGAGGCTGGTGCACCCAAGCACATAGTTTAAGCAGTATTTGGCCTGTCCTCGGGGGCCTCTCAGTCTAGAGGGGAAGAACGTGTTCTTGGGACCCCAGCCCATGATCGATGCTCGGACAGACTTTCCTGCAGGACGGAGGGGCCTGTTTGTCTTAGGGTGGTGTCAGAACTTCCCACGGTGCCTGGGAAGTAAGCAGCTCTTTGCTGTGGGGGAGTGTCCTCGGTGCCAGGCGCAGCACACCGCTCACATGCGTGGTCTCATCGGGCTTCCTAGAGGACAAAACTGAGGCCCAAAGAGGGTCAGCCGCTTGCCCAAGGTCACACAGCTAGGACTGGCAGAGCAGGAGCTGAATTCCAAACAGCATGGCTACTGGGACACCCCTCCGGGCTCTCCTGCGTGGTTTGGGGAAGGCAGTGGTGGGCAAGACTGGTAGGTCAGACACCTGGGTCCCAGCGCAGTGCTGAGTGGCCCCCACCTCACCACAGGCGAGCGGCGAGAGGGCGTCAACACCTCGGTCAGCTCTGATGTGCAGTCAGTCTTCAAAGGGAAGACGTACAGCCAGTTGCAGGTCATCTTCCAGGGCATCGAGGGCAAGATCCGGGCCGGGGGCCCCAACCTAGACATGGGATACTGGGAGAGCCTGCTGCAGCAGCTGCGGGCCCACATGGCACGTGCCAGGTGAGTGGGCAGCGGGCCTCAGTGACCTTGGCCCGGGCACTGTCCTGGGCGGGTCCTGTCCCACTTGGCATCTTGCCTGGGGACAGGAGCCATCTCCATCATGCCTGCTAGGCGAGGCTGGCCCCTAAGTGACCTTGGGGACCATAGACCAGGACCCTAGCCAAAGGCTCTTGTCATGGTCTTTGTGCCCCCACCTGCAGTCGGGCCCCAGGAGTTTAGGCAGGGCTTCTGTAGGGCCCCCCTTCCTCACAGCCTTTACCGAGCACCTGGCCTTTGCTTCCCATAGGGTCAGCAGGCATCACAGGAAGCCCCCAGGCTGCCTCTCCCGGCCTTCTGCTGGCCCCACACGCCCTGTGTACAAATTCTCAGCATGCTTGGCACCGCTGTGTAAACATAGTCTGCCGGCCACTAACTATTCGCCTCTAAATTTATCTTCCCTGCCTGCTCCGCCTCTTGTTCTGGCCCAGTATGGCCGTTAGGTTACACCCGCATGTGAATGCCCTGGTACAGGGACCTGCGCCTCGCAGCCAAGGGATAGCTCTCTGGGGTCTGCAACCCCAAGTCCCATTTTTTCATGGCCAAAGCCTTGACCCTGGAATGGCCATGCTAGGCCCAAGCCCCAGCCTGTGCTGTACTTACTGCCCTCTCAACCTCTTGTGTTCTTGCAGCAGAGGGGGGAGGGGGTCCTGAGAAAGCCTGGGGGAAAAGAGGGCCCCTTTCCCCCACCTAGTCAGGGTGACCGCCTGGCCCACGTTCCAGACTCCGAGAGCGGCACCAGGACGTGCTGCGGCAGAAGCTCTACAAGTTGAAGCAGGAGCAGGGTGTGGAGAGCGAGCCACTGTTCCCCATCCTCAAGCAGGAGCCCCAGTCTCCCAGCCACAGGTAGGCCCAGCCCAAAAGTCCCCCTTCCTCATGCGGAGGCCCAGGATGCACCCCCACCCCACAGGCCCCACTTACCTCTGGAGGGGTCGGGGCAATCGCCCACTCAGCCTTCTCTCCTCAAAGCCTGGAGCCTGAGGTCGCAGCCCTGACTCCACCTGGGCCCTCCTTGGAGGGCGGCCCTGTGGAGGCTGAGGTGGAGGGTGAAGCGCCGGCAGAGGGCGAAGCAGAGGGGGAGGCTGTGCTCATGGAGGAGGACCTGATCCAGCAGAGCCTAGACGACTACGACGCCGGCAAGTACAGCCCCCGACTGCTCACAGCCCACGAGCTGCCGCTGGACGCACACGTGCTGGAGCCTGACGAGGACCTGCAGCGCTTGCAGCTGTCACGGCAGCAGCTCCAGGTCACAGGTGTGCACGGGGCGAACGAGGCCATCGTTTGGGGGTGGGCAGCAGAAGGGTTGGGGCAGGAGGCTCCTGGGTCCAGGGCCAGCCACGGGGCTTAACGGAGAACCTTTCTGTCCCCTCCCTCCCTGCCTCTGAGCTTCTATCCACTTTTCTGCTCACTCATTCATTCAGTCGGGTTCAGTGACCGGCTGGCCCCAAGGACAGAGACAGAGTCGTTTTCACTTCCTGTGCCCAGCCCTGCTGTGCGCTCCTCATGCTGTTCGCTGGGGAACGGCATGCTCCTAGGCCTCCCTGGGCTGTGTTGTCCTAGGTTTAGAGTAATGGCGTCAGAAGGGCCCCTGCCCAGGGTGCCCTGGGAGATCTTCAACTAAAGCAGGCTCTCTGGCCACCCAGCAGGGGACACATGGTGTTTGGTACCCACACGGGGAGAACAGTGAGCACAGATGGCCAGGGATGGGGCCTGTCCCACCCTGTGCCTTCACCCTGAGCCTCAGTTCTCCTGGGAGAGGCCTGGCAGGGTGGACTAGGCTCGGACCCCCTTCACACCTCCCCTGGAGTGAGGTCCAGGCTCCCTGTGACGGGAAACTGAGGCTCGCCAGTACCTCAGTCCCAGCTAACGGCTGCCTCGCCCTCAGGTGACGCGAGTGAGAGTGCGGAGGACATCTTCTTCCGGCGGGCCAAGGAGGGCATGGGCCAGGACGAGGCGCAGTTCAGCGTGGAGATGCCCCTGACTGGCAAGGCCTACCTGTGGGCCGACAAGTACCGGCCACGCAAGCCACGCTTCTTCAACCGTGTGCACACGGGGTTCGAGTGGAACAAGTACAACCAGACGCACTATGACTTCGACAACCCACCGCCCAAGATCGTGCAGGGCTACAAGTTCAACATCTTCTACCCTGACCTCATAGACAAGCGCTCCACGCCCGAGTACTTCCTGGAGGCCTGCCCTGACAACAAAGACTTTGCCACCCTGCGCTTCCACGCTGGTCCGCCCTACGAGGACATTGCCTTCAAGATCGTCAACCGCGAGTGGGAGTATTCACACCGCCATGGCTTCCGCTGCCAGTTCGCCAATGGCATCTTCCAGCTCTGGTTCCACTTCAAGCGCTACCGTTACCGGCGGTGATGGCCCTGCACCCGCAGACCACCTGACGGGCGTGGCAAGGCCGGCGGCCTTCCCCAGCTGGTGCACAGGCTGGGCCTCCCCCTCACCAGCCTCACTTTCTCTGCGAGAACAGCAAGCAACTCACAGTGTAGCTGCCTCTGTGAGCGGTGAGGGAGCCACTGGGACAGGCTGGCCCAGGTTCTGAGATGCCCGGGGGGCTGCCGGCGGGACTCTCTGAGGGCAGGGAGCCCAGCAGGTATCAGCCAACCTCACTGTCCACGTGGGCATGCTAAGGCCCAAGGCCCACCCTAGACGAGCCCTGTAATGCAGGCTCTTAGCTGGGGGCAGCATGAGGCCCAGACATGGAGTACCAAGCTTTTGAGGGGCAGGAAATCCAAGGTCAGAGCACTGATTGGCCCTTGGACACAGCCAGCTGCTACAGGGCCCACCTTCCTGGCCGCCTCCCAGCCAGCCTCCCTCAGAGCCCGGCCCAGTGGAACCCGACCCTGCTGCTGCGCCATGTTCCCAAACCTCTTTTAAGGGACGTCCACTTGCCTCACCCTGGTGCAGGCTGCGGGGTCAGTCTCCTCCCAAGTGAGGGTGAAGGACATGCCATCCTCCACCATCATGTCTAGGAACCGAGGGTCCATTATGGAGACATCTCCAGCCCCGAGTGGAAAGAGCCCACCCCACACCCCAGAGCGCCGCCTCCCGGCTCCTTGGACAGCCCCCCACCCCCACCAGCACCCGGTTTCGTCTGGGAATGTTTCAGGTGGTTTCTCTGAAGAGACTTTTTTAGGTGGGGAGGGGAAAATCTTATTTTCATTTAACTGATCTACTCATGAGAGTACGTTTTTAAAATAAACACTTTATTTTAGAATAAGATTTTCAGAAGTACTGGAAAGAGAGCCCCAAGTTCCTGCCCCGCTGGCAGCCACAGCCAGCTTTCCTGTCGTTACCGCCTCACGTAACGGGCACGTCTGTCTGCACCACTAAGGCGCGAAACCCAACCACGAAGACCTTTGACAAACACCCACACCCAAATGCAGTTGGCAGTTGTCCTTAGGAAGCTGCTCAGAGTCGGTGGGTTCCTCCTCTCTCTGCCTCGGGCCGTCAGCCACTCCCCCGCCGAAGGGTGTAATCACAAACGCGCCAGGCTTGGTCACGGGTGCTGGGTGCTGAGGAGCTGCTCGCCCAGGCCAGGCGAAGTCCCTCTGGACAGTTGGTGCCCTCTTCACACTGCAGACATCACTAATGGATTGCTGCCAGAGCCACCTCAGGATCCCTGGTGGCAGCAGCCACTACCAATCACCCTCGTAGCCTGCTTCCTGTCACTGAGTGCAGGGCAGACTGCGGAGGCATTCTTGTACCTGGCTCAGGGCTTGGTCCTCAGATGGGCAAGGCCCCCTTCTGTCATCATGGCATGGACTGTGGCTGCTGCAGCCCAGCCCTGACCTCATGCCAGCTCCACACGGCAGGATTTATGTCCATTTGGGGAAACGGGCTCATAGAGGCACATGTGTTCAAGCCTAGAAAGTGGCAGACCGGGTTCAGACCTGGACTCCAACTTGGGGAACCCTGCCTCCCAGGCCACCACTCATGTCCCAACCTCAGTTTCCCCTTCTGCCCCCAGGAGAGTCCTCCCAACCCCAGTGTCCCCCCAGGAGTCGGGAAGTGTTCACCGCAAGGGAGAAGTTGGTGGCCGTCCACCAACTTGCTGAGTGTGTTTAGCTGGGAGCCCCTAGTCAGGAGGGTGGAGAGCTGGGCTCAAATGCCAAGGGCCCAAGGAGTCAGGCTGGAGCTGAGGTAGGGAAGGCATTGACCGAGGGGCCTCAGAAGGGATGGGACTTCCTGGGGGAGGGCTGCTGAGCAGAGGAGGGCGGAGCCTCTCTTGCTGGGGGAAAAGTAGCTACTTCGCCCAGGGCAGGGGCACAGCAGAGCTGAATGCAAGCTCAGGAGCTGGACTCCCCGGGGCACTGTGGAGCCGTACCAGGTGAGAGCTGAGCAGGGACACGAGCTGGCTGTCTCGGAGACCCTTCTGGCAGACTGGAGGCACCGCACCCACCCAGCTGTCCCATTACCTCCACCCGGGCCTAAGCTGCCCCCAACCCCCACACCAGCTTCTTCCTGCCTTTGGCTGTATCCAAATCTAAAAATAGATGCTCCCTGCCTGGTCCCCCACCGGAAACCACAGCCACGGGGGGCACGTCCTGAGCCTGGCCTCTGCTCCTGACATCTGGCCCACCCCCCAGGCCAAGTGCCTTTGAATCCTCTCATGTGCGCATTGAGCTGGGGGGGGCGGTAAACAGAGGCTAGAAAGACCTCCAGCCACCAGCCCAGGAGGTTGGAGGAAGCCCAGAGCTCAAGTCTGAATCCTGCCCACATGTGGCCTTGGCCGTATCATGTCCTCCTCTGGGCCTCAGTTTCCCCATTGATAAAATGAGCATCTTTGCCTCATTCAGTGCAGAGCTGCAGTGAGACCCAGACTAAATTCGAGTCAAGTGTGCATCTCTGACCCCTGCCCTGACTATTCCCAGAAGGAGCATTGTCCTCCTTATCTCTGGGCAGAGGAAGTGGGAATGGAACAGTCGCCCTCATCTCTCCACCGCCATCTGCAGCTGCAGCCCAACACCCTGTCCCCACCACATCGGCCCTCACTGCAGCTCTCCCAGGCCCCTGGCTGTCTCACATGTGTGATTTCTGCCTGTCTGTCTTGCACCTGGGGAACTCCCGCTCATCCCACAAAGCACCAGTTCCCAGGCCGCCTCCCCACAGGATGCCTTCCTGGCTCACCTCTGGGCTCCCCTATGTCCCATTACTTCCTCTGACCCAGCTGTGACCGCAGGGGGTTAGAACTGTGTCCAGCTGTCTTTCTCCAGCCTGGGAGGTCCCTGAGAGCAGGTCTTGTTTCCTGTCCTACCAGGGGCTCATAATTGTCCCACCAAGTGGGCTGGACACAGGGTTGCCCTTGAGGAGGGATGGAAGTGGAGCAAGACCGCCTGGGAGATGCAGGCTTTACAGAGGAGGCGTCCTTGGAACCAGGGCTCTGCCGATGCATGGGAGCTGGAAGACTTGCCGATCAAGAGAAGTTAGGGTTAAATGGCTCAGGGACTCAGACAATAGGATGGAACAGGGGAGGGGCTATCTGGAGGAATGGGGGTGTGCGCCAAGGCCTGGAGACCGGAACCTGGTGGGCGGGAAGGCTGGAGAAGGGGCTTCCCGGCAGGGCCCAGGGGAGTACAGGCCTAGAGGCAGTCTTCACTCAGAGCCTGCACTTGTATGCCCCTCCCAGGGCCCAAGGACTGGCTGGGGTGGGCTCAAGGCCAAGCTAGCTGGTCACGGTCCACTGTAGGCCCTAACTCTGGGTCAACAAGGCCCAAGTTCGCGCCCCCATGCCTAGGCCTGTGGACCCTCTCAACCCACCTGAGGCCCAGGACTATGGGCAGGAAAGGCCTTCAAGAAGCTTCTCACTTTCCTGCAGCACAGGCCAGCCACCATGCATTTACTCTAGCTGGGCCCAGCCTGGTCACTTCGGGCTGATGAGACCCTGGCCCAGAGCCCCAAGTGTGTCTGCGGCCTTCAAGGAAGTCGACCCTACCTGGGAAGCCCATTCCAGAGTCCTCTTCCTGCTTCCCAGCCTCAACCTCGAATCATCCCTGCAGTGACAGACTCCAGGCATTTCCCTACCCTCACTGGGGGGCAGGGGCAGGCCACGCCCGGGGAGCAACCTCCCCACCCAGACTGCAGGCTGTCCTACACCTGGCCCCAGCGCCATCTCTCAGCCTTTGTCTCACTGGCCCCGCTCGGTAGCGCCCCCTTCCCTCAGTCGCACACAGCCCTCTCCGTTCACCTGCTCCAGGAAGGCCTCCCTCAGGAGTCCGCCCACCGAGCTGCTGGCTGGAGAGTCTTATTGCCCCTCCCCTCTAAGCAGCCTGCACCCCCAACCTCCAGCCCTGGCAGGAGCCTCAGACCTACCTACTGTGTGCCAGACCCAACCCCGGAGGGTTCACAAGCTCTCAGCCTGAGTGGGGGTCTGGGCACCCTGGGAAGCTGACCCTGCCTTATGCAGAACATGCCCGCCCCCTCCGGGCCTCCGGTGCTGCCCAGGCCATGAATAATGCCGCGGGAACTCCTGGAGGGGGCCCAGCTGGGGCAGGCCACTACACCCCTGCCCCTGTGACCTGGTGTCCCTCGGAAGTCCCTTCCCCAGGAGGCTGCGCGGTCTCCTGGCGGGCTGGGGGGACGCCCCGCAGACCCCCATCAGCCAGGCCGGGGCCTGAGGGGCGTGGCCACAGCAGGGGGGAGGGGCCGATGAGAAGCACACAAAGGAAGGACAGAGACCGTGAGAGAGAAGAGTAGAGACCTGCAGGGTGCTGTCTGTGGAGGGGAGCCGGACTCCGGCTATTTTTAACCCCCAAGGACGCCCCTCCAGCCTCAGGGGGGACCTAGCCCTTCCTGCTTCACAGCACCCCGTGCACCGGGCGTCCTGTGCCTCTGGAGACGTGGCAACCCCCAGGTCCTCTGTGGGCCCGCCCCCACCGTGACTCGGTTTCCCCAGGAGGCTAGGTCGCCCAGCTCCGTCCATCCCTCCCCGACCCCGGGCCCGGGCTAGCGACCGCACGCCTATCCTCCCGGCTCGGGCTCCCGGACAGCGCGGCAACCCCAGCAGCCCCATCCATTCATCATCGCCAGGTAAGGACACAGATGTCCAGTTTAGGGGCGGGGCATGAGAGTGGGCAAGTGTTGCTGGAGTGTTTCCTGCGGTGACCTGACCTGTTGTGGGTGTGTCACCCTGAGCGGTGACAGCAGCCAGGTTCTGGGTGCCCTGGGGAGTTGATGATACCAGGTCTGCATCTGGAGAGTGGCCTTGCACTTCTGCTGCCTGCCCTGGCCAGTGTGCAGCCATGTGGAGTCAAGCATGTGCTTGGGTGTGGGTTTCTCTGAGTCTGTACCGGGACATTTAGGGCACCACCCTGTGGTGCCACTGGGAGGGTGTGGCTGGGAGTAAGTGTGTGTGTGCATGCAATGATGGGTTCATATGATCGCGATAACTCTTGTGTCCATCAATAACCACTGGCCAGAGGGCCTGGGTCCCCTCCACTCATCTCACACCTGCCCCCCCTTTTGGCCTTCCTGACAGCCCTGAACGGCGAGCACTTCTCAAAACCTACTGAACGAATTAGAAACTGAGGTTCAGAGGAACCCCATGCGTCTGGGCCAAGGTTCAGCTCTTACCTAGTTAGGCTCACTGTACTCTCTTGGGTGGGGTCCTGGTGAGTGTCATAAACAGGAAAAGTTCCCGGAAACTGAGCCTTGTGGTGAGGGGAGTTGGGGGTGGGCCCGGGGACTGCCGCTGGCTCTGCCTTCACATGTGTGTCTGTGTGGGGGTCTGTCGGGGGCTCTGCCCTCACGCGTGTGTGTCCGTGTGGGTGTCCGTGGCTGCACAGAGGTGTGGAGCGGGTCCATGGGCAGCTGGGTGTGCTTCAGGCCCGGGCTGGAACTGACTGATGCAGGTGCTGGCCTGGACCCTGCACTTTCGTGCCAAAGGGTGTCGTTGTTGGTCTCCTGGACTCTCTAGCAGTTAGAAGACAGGAAATGTGGGGAACAGGCCCAGGGGCAGGGCCGGCTGAGGTCACACGCAGCATAGGGCCCTGTGCACCTGCCCCGGAGGTACACTTGTGAACACAGCCGGAGGCAGGAAGGGCACACCAGGCACAGCTGAGGCGAAGGCTCCTCGGCCTGCAAAAACAATCCAGGGTGCCAGCGGGCGAGTTCGTGTCCTCGTTCTTCCCATTTCACAGACGGGGAAGCTGAAGCTCAGCAATGTGGAGTCCCGTGTGTGTGTGTGTGTGTGTGTGTGTGTGTGTGTCCCTCCCCCGCTCAGCAGTGGCAGATCAGGGACTTCCAGCTGGGCTTGTCTGAGATCATCATCACCCCTTGGGAAGACTGGGTGGTCCCAGGATGTCTGCAGACCGGGCAGGCTATGGGGTGGGGTGTTGAGTGGGAGAGGGGCTTGTAGAGAGATGGTTAGCTTGATGGAGGTGGGGGAAGAGAGTGGGGAGGGCAGTAACGGTGATCAGGCAGAGGCGAGGCCTGATACTTGGGAAACAAAGAGTCACATCCCACTGGACCATGGGGGGTCCCACCCACTGTTCAGCCTCCAGTAAGGAGCCAGTTGTGAAGACAGATTTCTGGAACCCAGGACCCAGCCAAACTCTCGCTGAAGTTCTGGAACCTCAGCCCCTTGGAATTCTAGACTCTGGAGGCCTTCCAGTTTTCAGCACTGGGAGCTCAAATTCCAGAACCCTGGCCCTTCAAAGTCTAGACCTCCTCACTCTGAGCCATGGAATCCCGGCTTTGTCCCGCACATCTGGGGTGGGAACCTGGAGCCCGTGCATTCCGTGAGGCACAGAGAGGGAGATGGATTCCCCCAAAGGCCACGCCATGCTGCTTCTCTGACCTGTGGCTGGGATGAGAACAGGTCCCCTGTAGGTTAGGGGCCCTGCCTGCTCTCCTGGCCAATATGGGAGGGGAAGGGAGACCTTGACAGGTGCCTCTACTGGCCGGCTTGCCTGGGAAATTTGAGATAGCCCCTATCACCTAAACCCATGGGAGGGGGGACTGGAAACCGCAGGCTGTGGCCAGAAGGATTCCTGCCAGTTTCCAGCCTCCCCCAGGCCACAGGCTCTGAGTCACAGGTTTGTTCCCAGACATGGGAGACATGAGGATATCTCAGGGGGGTGTGCCTCAGAGTGAGTAAATGGTGCAGGAGCTCTCGCAGGAAGGCAGGGACAAGGGGACCATGAGACCCAAGAAGGGCTGGCAGTCATTCCAGGCAGAGGCCAGGGCAGCGGCTGCCGAAGCAGCCCAAGTCCCCAGAAATGTTCCGAAATGGCACATACCAGCTCTTGAGGGAGGCAGCGCCCTGTCCCAGAAGGAATTCAAGTACAGGTCAAATCCGAGATGGCGAAGAGCACACCCGGGCCGGAGTGGAAGGCTAAGGTCACCGGTCATCACAGAAAGCACTCCCTCTTCCCACCCCAGCTCCCCAGGCCTCAGTTATCCCACTCGAGGCCCCAGCACCACAAAGCAGCCATGGCCTTGGCACTCAGCCTGGGATGGGAGTTCAGGGCAGCCACCAGGAGCTCGATAATTTATGAGACTAGATAAGGAGCTGTGGAGCTGAGGGGCTGGGCCAAGGAGCCGATTGCAAGGTCGGGAGCCAGCATGAGCTGGCGGCCACCTGCTGGACACATTTGCAGGAACTGAGCGCCTACAGTGCACTAAGCCATGTACCCAGATGAACTCATTTCTACCGTGAGCCCCATTTTACAGGAAGGGAAACTGAAGCTCAGTGGGGACTGAGGAGCCAAGGTTAGTGGAGGGTATGCGGCAAAGCCAGGATTTGAATCGGGTCTGATTAACTTTTTAGAAAATGTTATCCTCCCTTAGAGAAAATTCCAATGATTGTGAACCCCACACCCACCTGGCATGGGCCTCCATCCACAGGGCAGGATTTTGAATCACTGACACACATTATGTGCAATGAGGCCCAAGTGTAAATTTCCGGTCGGCTTGGGCTGGGCTGTGTGACCTTGAACAAGTTAGTTAACCTCTTTGTGCCTCAGTTTGCCCACTCTGCAAAAAGCAGATCATCATAGGACCTTTATGAGCTTTAACTGCCTGGCCCTTCGTCCCTGTTCCTCCCGTGGTCCCGCCTCCCCACCCTTGCCCACTCTGATCCCTCCCCTGGGTGCACCCTCGACGCCAGCACACGGATGACCTCTGGGGTGTGCCGAGGGCGGAAGGTGTGGGCTGGGTGCTAGTCCCATCTCCCTGGGTGGCTTTCTGCCTTCCCTGGCGTGTCTGTTTTGAGAACTGGAAGCTGTTTTTTGAATGTCCTCATTTTATTGCTACCTCATGTCCCCACGTCTGGCCGATTTGCCCACACTTGCATTAGCCCAGCCCAGATGTCTCTCCAGGTTTCTTCGCCAGCCCCACACTGGGTAGCGGGTCCCTCCCGTTGCCTTGGATAGCCCATCCCTGGGGAACCTGTCACTCCGAATGAGCTGTTTTTTGTTCCTAGAATGGAACTGGATTTCTGGGTTTATTTCTTGTTACGTAAGTAATGCCATGAGCCCTGGCCGGGGTGGCTCAGTTGGGTGGAGCATCCTCCCATACACCAAAAGGTTACAGATTCGATCCCTGGTCAGGGCGCATACGGGAGGCAACTGATTGATGTTTTTTTATCTCACATCAAGGTCTCTCTCTTGTGCTCTCTTCCTTGTTTTCTATAATCAATAAGACATATCCTCAGGTGAGGAATAAAAAACAAACAAACAAAAAAAGCAATGCCATGAAATAGGGAAAAAAAAGAATCCACATGATTTCAAAAAATTAAGAAATATTTAAAAACAAGAATACGATTTCAACATGTGTGAGGAAGGATCTCCCTAAAACACCAGTGGGGTGGGGCCTCACCCTCACACATCCACAGGAAACTGTGACCCGTGAAGCTGAGCTCAGGGCCAGTACCGGGGCCAGCGACCTCTGGCCGACAGCCATCCCCCTCCCTCACCGGACGGGATGCATCCTGTCTTACTGTGGCTGAAATCTGTCCTGGGTGCTGTAGTCCACCATGGGCTTAGACGGAGGCCAGCAGGGAAACAGAAATTCAGAGAGAAGAAGTCATTTGCTTGGGGGCTGGAGTTCCAACCTGGAGCTTCTTGGCCCTTCTCTTCAGCAGATACTAACTGGTGTCCTCCAGGGGCACCAGGAGAGACAGCACTGGTCCTAACCTTGAAGACTGTTGATTCAGGGGCAGGACAGAGCAGGAGGTAGCGCTATAATAATAGTAAAACTCAGGAGCGCAGAGTAACTTAAGTCAGGAAAGGCTTCCTTGAAAGGGGGTTATTTGAGGTGGGGTTTTGAAGGTTGTATAGGTGTTCACCAGGGCCACTCAGATTAAAATGCAGACTGAAGCTCTGGCTGGGTAGCTCAGTTGGTTAGAGCATCATCCCATGTGCCAAGGTTGTGGGTTCGATTCCCCAGTCCAGTCACATACGAGAAACAACCACTGAATGCATAAGTAAGTGGAACAACAAATCGAATGTTTCTCTCTTTGTCTCTCTCTCCCTTCTTCTCTCTCTCTAAAAAAACAACTTAGAAAATGCAGACTGAATCACGAGAAAATCACCTCTCTGCCCCTACCAGGTGTGCCAGGGGCAGTGCCAACCTGCTCCCCTACAGCCTCGGCTCGATGGGGTGGTGACCCCCCACTCTGCTCCAGCGCCATGTGGCCCAACAACAGTTCTCTGGGGCCCTGTTTCCGGCCAATGAACATCACGCTGGAAGAGCGGCGCATGATCGCCTCTCCGTGGTTTGCTGCCTCCTTCTGCTTGGTGGGCCTGGCCTCCAACCTGCTGGCCCTGACCGTGCTGGCAGGTGCAAGGCAGGGCAGCTCCCAGACGCGGTCCTCCTTCCTCACCTTCCTCTGTGGCCTTGTCCTCACCGACTTCATGGGGCTGTTCATCACCGGTGCCATCGTGGTGTGCCAGCATGCCAACTTCTTCGACTGGCATTCCGTGGACCCCAGCTGCCACCTCTGCCGCTTCATGGGCGTGGCCATGGTCTTCTTCGGCCTGTGCCCGCTGCTGCTGGGGGCCACCATGGCCTCAGAGCGCTACCTGGGTATCACGCGACCCTTCTCGCGCCCTGCGACTACCTCGCAGCGCCGCGCCTGGACCATCGTGGGGCTGGTGTGGGCCACTGCGCTGGTGCTGGGCCTGCTGCCCCTACTGGGAGTGGGCCGCTACACTGTGCAGTACCCGGGCTCCTGGTGCTTCCTCACGCTGGGCCCTGAGCCTGGGGACGTGGCCTTCGGCTTGCTGTTTGCGCTCCTAGGCAGCTTCTCAGTGGGGCTGTCCTTCCTGCTCAATACCATCAGTGTGGCCACGCTGTGCCACGTGTACTACGGGCAGGAGGCCGCCCAGCAGCGCCCACGGGACTGCGAGGTTGAAATGATGGCTCAGCTCATGGGCATCATGGTGGTGGCCAGTGTCTGCTGGATGCCGCTGCTGGTAAGTGGCCCTTGCAGGGCCTGCCCTGGGTTCCCGCCGTCGGTGGTGACTGGGCCTCCATCCATCCAGCATGAATTTCAACCCTCAGGGTCTTGTCCGTCCAAGAAAATATGGACACGTGTCCCAGGGCCCACACTGGGATGACCTTCCTGGAGAAGCTCATGAGCCAGACACAGCGACACCCAAACCAGGGCAGGACAGGACGTCTTGTCCCCGGCAGTGTCCCTAGCCTTGTCCAGCACACAATAGCGCTTAGGAAACCATTTTTAATAGAATTTTAATATTATAATTTATTTATTTTGTAAAGGATTTTCTCTTTTTCTTTAAAGATTTTATTTATTTATTTTTAGAGAGAAGGAAAGGGAGGGAGAAAGTGAGGGTGAGAAACATCAATGTGTGGTTGCCTCTTATGTGTCCCCCACTGGGAACCTGGCCCACAAACCAGGCATGTGCCCTGACTGGGAATCGAACCAGTGACCCTTTGGTTCCCAGGCCCATGTTCAATCCACTGAGCTATACCAGCAAGGGCTAATAATTTATTTTGATATTATAGAATTTTAATGTAATACATTTATTATAATATGAACAAAACTATATTTAACATAATTTTATTATAATGGTTATATATACATTATCATTAATTCTTACAGTGTAATTAATAGTTATATCGATTATCATAATATAGTTACATATTTTATATTATCCAATTAAGTACTATATAATACTATAATTATACATTATTACTACTTAATAGTTATGTCAATTATATAATACTTAGCTACATAAGTATGTTACATATTATATAATTACACATAAATTTTAACTATAATAATATATTAATTATTAGATAAGTACATTATATTATGCAATTGTTTATATATAACTTAAATGATATATCATGTAATATTAAATGTAAAATTCAATATTTAATAAAATATATTAAAATAATTTAATCTGAGTATTTAATATGAAATTAATATTAAATTATTTTCAATAAAATTTATAAAATATAACATTTAATATATGTTAAATTCCTTAAAGTAAAATATATAATATAAAATTAAATTATTTCATACCCATTTTAATACTATAATTTTATAATGTTATATTATGAAATGTTTATAAAATATAAAATGTTTACTGGAACAACAGTGCTGGCTGTGATGATAACTCCAACCGTGTGCACCTACAAGCCTTTCCCGCCACATTTAGTCGTGCCCAGGGGAGGGGCTGGAAAAGGGTGCTGTTTTGTGGCCACAACAACAAGCTCAGAGACCTGGCTGGTGTGGCTCAGTGGATTGAACGCAGGCTGGGAACCAAAGGGTCTCCGGTTCAATTCCCAGTTGGGGTACATGCCTGGGTTGCAGGCCAGGTCCCCAGGACGGGGTGAGCAAGAGGCAACCACACATTGATACTTCTCTCCTTGTCTTCCCCTCTCTCAAAAACTGGATAAATAATACCTTTAAAAAAAAAAAACAAGCTCAGACCCACAGAGCACAGCAGGGACAGAATCAGTATGTGCTCTGCGCTGGTGGAGGGGCAGGGCCGGAGGCTGGCCTGCTGCCTGGCTAACTGCTCTGGCCCTTGACAGGTCTTCATCGCCCAGACGGTGCTGCGGAGCCCGCCAGTCATGGACGCAGCTGGACAGCTGTCTGAAGGCACGGAGAAACAGCTGCTCATTTACCTGCGTGTGGCCACCTGGAACCAGATCCTGGACCCCTGGGTGTACATCCTGTTCCGCCGGGCTGTGATCCGGCGCCTGCACCCTGGCCTCAGTGCCCGGGCCAGGTCACTATCAATGCAGCCTCAGCTCAGCCGAAGGCCCACTGTGGCATAGGGCTGGGGGCAGACATCAGTGGTGGCTCTGGAAGGACAGCGGGACAGAGCGCCCTGCCCCCGCGTCCCCCATTCAACCTCGGTCCTCCCTGACAGTCATGTCTGCCCATTCTGAAGTCTGGGCGCTGGGAGTGCAGGATGGACAGAGGGCTTGAGTGGCAGGATTGTGAGCTATGTTCCATCAGCCCTGAGGACCCCCCAGCTCTTCCCTGATCCCCTTTTCCAAGGCCCCTCCCTCTCCTCAGCCCCCTCCCAACTCCAGGAAGGGTGAGTGGGGATGCAGGGGGGTGTCTAGAGGCAATTAGACTTGTAAGCCTTCTCTTCAGAAGTCCTCAGGAAATTGGGGGTTCTGACCACTAAATATGACCTATTCTCTGAGGAGCAATCAATCCCCTTTGACACTCCAACCCAAGAAGGCTCTGTCTAGAAAAGATTGAATGTAAATGAGCAAGACACCCCCTCTTTTGCCAAAATATATTTCAGCCTGGCTTTATTTTCCTTTGAGTCTGAAAGTCAGTCAGCATTTGTTGAAGTTCGGTGCATCATATTGCTATCCAACCACGCAGCAGCTGAGAACAGGACCGGGGATGGGCGGAGAGGGTGAGACTGCGTTGTTTCCTCTCCCCGAGTCCTTCATTAAGTTGGTTCTCCCGGAACCCTGCCTACAGCCCCTAGAGAGGGTCCTGGTATTAAACCCATTTTGCAGATAAGGAAAAGAAAAGGAGAGCCCTGGCTGGTGTGGCCCAGTGGATTGAGTGCCAGCCTGCAAACCAAAGGGTCGCCTGTTCAATTCCCAGTCAGGGCACACGCCTAGGTTTAGGCTGGGTCCCTAGTAAGGGGCACATGAGAGGCAACCACACATTGCTGTTTCTCTCTCTTGCTTTCTCCCTCCCTTCTCCTCTCTCTAAAAAATAAAATCTTAAAAAAAAAAGAAAGAAAAGAAAGGGAGAGACACACGCAAGACCATGAAATGATGCCTGTTTCCTCCACTTGAGATGGAGTCATTCCCTCATAAGCTTATCATTCAGTCATTCATCCCCCTACACTCAGACTACCAGTGCCTTGAACAAACAGCACCTGGCCCATAGTAGGCGCTCAATAAAGACTGATTGAATGGACGAATGACTGAGCTTTGAGGAACGCCATGTATGTGCAAGTGCATGAATACGTGCACAGTGAGTACTTTAAAGCACCTGGCACACAGTAGGTACTTAAGAAGCAGCCAGTGTTGTCATAGCTCCCTAGAGCCTCATGCCTGTTGCTTCCTCTGCTTTCCCCCAAACTCCCTCAGAAACCTCACACCTGGCCCTGGCTGCTGTGGCTCAGTTAGTCAGAGCCATCCCACGAAGCAAAAGTTCGCCAGTTCAGTTCCCAGTCAGGGCACGTGCCTGGGTTGCTTGTTTGGTTCCAGTCGGGGTGTGTACAAGGGACAACCCACCGATGTTTCTCTCATATCAATGTTTCTCTCCCTCTCCTCCTCTCTCTAAAAATAAAGTCTTTTAAAAAAAGGATTAAAATAAAAAAACACACACATTCGACACACCTAGCTGTATGTGCCTTTATTCCCATGAGCCCTCGAGGTACATGAAGAGCAAACCATTCCCTGCCCCCCGCCCCCGCCGCACCCCTGCCTTCCCCTCCACAGGCCTGGGATCTGCTTACACCTCCCAGAGCCAAGCTCAGTGAAACTGAAGCCCGTTTCCATTCTCCCTCCCTTCACCTGTGGGAGAATGAGGTCATCTGCTGCTTCGGGGGGACCTGAATTGGAAGAGGAAGGAGAGGGGGTGGGGTCCCCCAGGGGCCAAAACTATGTAACCCCCAAGCTACAGCTCCCTGTCATGGGGAAGGGGCTCTGACCCCTGCAGAGCAGTTCCTGACTCCCTAAGTATGGGGGAGGGGGCGTGCTCCTGAGCTGGGGGTGCAGGGGTCTGGGACTGCAGGAGGGCCGCCCTAGAGGCAGAACTAGGGATGACAGATACGGTGGGTGAAGTGGACTTATGGGGCCCCAACTGGGGCTTGGGGAAAAGGGCTGGTTTCTTGGGAGCCAAGGGGGCCTGTGATGGTGGAGCCAGGTGGGAAGGCGGTGGGCTTCTGCCCTGGGTTCCATGTACCAGATCATGGGGCCGGGGCTGAGGCTGAGAGACTTTGCTAGGGACTGGAGCAGGGGCTCTGGGTGGTGGGCCTGGGGGCTGAGGTCGAGTTGGTGGAATGGGATCAGACTGGGTTCTAGGGTCAAGGCCAGGGATCTGTGGGCAAAGCCCATTTCTAGAGCTGAGCTGGATTCTTAAGCTGGCCTGGGTTCTGGAGCTGGATTGGGTTTCAGAAGCAGGCTGAGTTCTGGAATTATGGTGAATTCTAGAGTGGGGCTCAGTGTTGAAACTGGTCTGGCTTTTAGAACTGGGCTGGGTCTCAGAGCTGAACTGAATTTTGGAGCCGGTCTGGGTTCTGGAACTGAGCCAGGCTCCAGAGCTGGGCTGCATTCTTGCATTGTCCTGGGCTCCAGAGCTGGGCTGGGTCTCAGATCTGACCTGTGTTCCAAAACTGGTCTGGGTTCTGGAACTGGTTTGGGTCCCTGGAACAGGCTGGGTTCTGGACCCGAGGTGGGTTCCAAAGCTGGCCTGTGTTCTTGAACTGGTCTGAGTGTCGGAGCTGGGTGGCATATCAGAGCTGAACTGAATCTTAGAGCTGGGCTGGGTTCTGGAGTTCACATGGGCTCCTAAGCTGGGCTGCATTCTTGAACTGGTCTGGGTGTCAGAGCTAAACTGAATCCTGGTACTAAACTGCCTTCTGGAACTGAGCTGGGTTTCAGAGCTGGGTTGAATGCTTGCACTGGTCTGGGCCCCTGAGCTGGGCTGGGTCTCAGAGCCAAGCTGGGTTCCAGAGCTTGTCTGGGTTCTGACGCTGGGTTGAGCTCCAGAAACAGTCTGCATTCTGGAACTAAGGTGGGTTCCAGAGCTGGGTTGTATTCTTGAACTGGTCTGGGATTCAGAGTTGAGTTGAGTCTCAGAGCTGAACTGGACTCTAGAGGTGAGCTGAGTTGTTGAGTTGGTCTGCTTCACAAAGTCTGACTTAATACCAGAGCTGCCTTGGGTTGTGGCCTGGAGCTGGTATCTAGAACTTGGCAGGGTTTCCAAGATGAGTGGAGTCCGAGAAGCTGATTGAGCTGTGCAGGGCTGGGTCCTGGAGCCCAGCCTGCTCTTAGAGCTATACAGGGCCGTGGAGCTTAAGTCTGTTGCTGCACTGGTCTGGGTCCCAGGACTAGATTGGATTCCAGAGTTTAGCTGTATTCTGGAACCCAATTGAGTCTCAGCAACTGACTGTGTTTTGGAGCTGGATGAGATCCCAGAGCCAGGCTGTCCTCCAGAACTGAGCTGAGTTCTAGAGCTGGGTTGGGTGCCTGGTCTGGAATGAGCTCTGGAAATTGGCCAGTCCTTGAAGTCGGTCTGGGTCCCAGAGCTGGACGGCATTCTAACACTGGTCTGTGTACTGCAGTGAGAGTGGGGACCGGTGTCAGGCTGAGCGGGGGAGACAGGTGTTCCCTCAGAGATGGATGAGGTTCCAGGGCTTGTCTGAATTCTAGAGATGGGCCTAGTTGTACCATCAGGCCAAGATCTGGAGCTGGGCTCAGTGTCTGAGCTGGACTCATCACTGGAGCTGGACTGGGCCTCAGAGTGGGGGTGGGTGCTTGAGTAAAACTGGGTTTTAGAGCAGGGCTGGGGTCTGGATCTGGACTGAGCTGCCGCATGCACCCAGGTTCCTGAGCTGGTCTGGGTTTGTGAATGGGGCTGGGTTTGGGAGCTGTCTTTGGATCCTGAGCTGGAGAGGCTTCTGTAGCTGGGCTGCTTCTTGAGTCTCACCTGGGTTTCAGTACTGCCTGGGGTTCCCGAACTAGGCTGGGTGTCTGGGTACTGCTGTGTCACTGAGCTGTCTTGCAGCCCAGAGTCAGGTCGAATTTTATGGCAGGGCTTGGTCACAGAGCTGGGTTGGGTCTTAAAACTTGTCTGGGTTCCAGAACTTGATTTAATGCCAGAGCTAGGCTTAGCCTCAGAGCTGTCCTGGTTTCTAGACGAGGGCGGGGTTCTGGAGCTGGGTTGTGTCACAGAACTGAATGGTGTCCTAGAGATGGGCTTAGTTTCTGAGCTGGCCTGGGGTCTAGAACAGAGTTTAGTCTCAGAATTGAGCTTGGTTCTAGAGCTGGGCTTGGCCTCAGAGCTAGGCTGTGTTTTAGAACAGGCCTTGGTCTCCGAGCTGGGCCTGGTTTCAGAACTGGTATGAATTCTAGAGTTGAACTTTACCTCAGAGCTAGCCTGGGTTCTAGAGGAGGGCTCGGTTCTAGAGCAGGGCTTGGTCTCAGAACCAGATGAAGTTCTAGAGATGAGCTTGGCCTCAGAGCTAGCCTGGGTTCTAGAAGAGGGCTGAGTTCTAGAGCAGGGCTTGGTCTCAGAACTAGGCTTGGTCTCAGAACTGGTATGGGTTCTAGAGGTGACCTCAGTCTCAGAGATGACCTGGGCTCTAGAGGGGGGCTGGGTCTCAGATCTGAGCTGGGCTCTGGAGCAGGGCTGGGCTTCGGAAGTCTGCCGGCAGGGCTGAGGAGGGGGGCTGGGCTCTGGACTGGGGCTGCGCTCAGCCCCAGGGCAGACTAGCCACAGGCCTCCTTGGCCTCGCCGATGGCGGCCCACACCTCCACCACAAACTCGTCCGGGAAGGCGAACTCGCCCAAGACGGAGTCTAAATGGTGTGCAAACTCCTGAACGCTCATTGTCTTCTTGGACGTCTCCACCATGGTGGACGCTGCCAAAGCAGGAGGGAAAGTGAGTAAAAGTGCTCTGGGACCCCAACTTCCCCTTGGGACCCCCACCTCCTCCCCATGGGCTGGCCTCCCCCCAGGGTCAACCGGCTTACCCTGGCCCCTTACCCAGCTCTGGGTCCCGAATGCCCATGTAACTCTCCAGCAGGTCATCCACCCTCCGAGACGCCTCCTCCTCAAATTCACTGGGCTGGGGGTGTCAGGGGACAAAACAGAGGGGAACTTCAGATCCCTATAGCCCAGGATCCTCTCAAGGCCCCACCCCTTGGGTGAGAGCTGGCTGGGACCTCATGCATCAATGCTTCTTCATATCACTATCGTCTCACCATGGAGACCCATCTTGCAGGTGGAGAAACCGAGGCCGGGCAAGAGAGGTCTTATCCAAGGTCACAATGACTCAGCAGTGGAGCTCTAGGTACAAGAGCCCCTAAAGACCCCCCTCCCTTTCACTCACCACTTCCTCTACTGTGGCAGCCCCCCCAGAACGAAGCCGCAGGGTCTCCCGCCCGCTGGTCACTTTCGCTTCCACAGGGCATTTGCTGCTACGGCTCCTCTGGCTAATCATATCTGGAGGGGACAGAGTGGTTGAGGGGCATGTGTTCTGGAAAGATCCATTCTTTGTAAACACTGGAAAACCTGAGCTGAGACTTTCTAGAACTTTCTCACCCTTTAAAGGCCTCCTTATGTCAGTAGCGTTAAAGCAGCACTTTAAAAGCTCCCAGCTATGCAATAAAATCGATCTAAACACCTCCTCACGCTTCCTCGATCTTCCTGTACTTCCCCCACCCCCGATAGACTATGACAATACAGAAACTACCTGCCTGTTCCTGACACAGTGCTGGAAGTTTCGCATCATGTCACCAGAGGCATCTAGAATCTTCCATCCTATTCCATCCCCCTACTCTCCACTGTCCCCAGGATCCAGAGAACCCATTTCCACAAGAGCTCCGCCCATCCCCACTCCTGTCCCCGAGCCCACAGGTGGCCCTCACCGAAGGCTCTCTTGGGCTGCACCAGGCGCAGGGTAAAGGGCTGGGCCTTGGGCAGCTCGCGGAGCATCTTGGCCACTTCGTAGTGGCGGCAGCCGACGATAGAGTGGTCGTTGATGGCCTCGATGCTATCGCCCACACACACGGCTTCGATCCTGTTGATGATGCTGCCCTCCTTGATCCTCTGCAGGGACCCAGAGTCACTTGAGGGGCCACCTTCGCAGAGCGCACTGAGACCAGTCACTCACCCCAGGTCATCCAGCACCTGGAAAGTTGCCCTCCCCACCCCACCCCCACCGCGGGCACCTTGATAAAGGCGTATCCGGCCCCGTTGTCCGTGATGGTCAGCCCCAGCGCATCCTCCGTCTTAGTGACCTCCACCTCCTTGGTCTCGCCGCGCACATGTGCAAAGATAAAGTCCTCCAACCCTATCTGGCCGCCCAGGAGTTTCTGCATGTCCACTTTGTGGCTGTTTAGGGTGCAGAATAAGATCTGTCCCGAGGGGAGGGGGAGCCCAGAATTAATGAGAGCGCTCATTCCCCACTGTCTGTGCAGAACCCTCGGGGGTATGGGCTCATGGACCTGATAGGGACCGAGGCACAAAGAGGCATGGAACTGAACTGGCCCAGTCACCTGGTGCCCAGGAATCCAGCCCGCAGGATCTTCAGAATGCGGTGGGAGACAAGTAAACAGAACCCCAGAATGAGGAGCAGGGTGAGGAGGCAGCTGTGGGTAGGAAGAACTCCCGTTTCCCAACCCCGGACTTTCAGTTTTAATCCTTTGGTGCCCTGACTCTCCTTCCGCCACCATCTTTTTCAGGCCGTTCTGCATCCGCTGGCGCCCCCTGGGAGTTGCAAGACGCACTGCTCTGCAGCCCAGCCTGTTACCCAGGGCACCTCCGACGTATCACCTGGAATGGAGCTGCCAGGAACCCCAGCCCCACAGCCGCGCCCGGGAACCATTCAGGCGCTTCCCTGAGGTCTGGTATCCACCTCAGCTGGATGCGAACCGTTTGGGGACTCACCACACTAAGACCTGCTCATATTTGTGCAGGGTGCTCAAAGGGCGCGTCCCCAGGGTATGGGCGCCACTGGATCTGAGAGGTGCGTCTCTGAGATATGGAGATAGCCCCCCCCCGCCCATCTGGGAGTGGGGGTCCGGGGTCCTCACCTCGGTGGGCGCTATCCCGAAGGCCTCAGCGATCTTGGCGTAGAGCTCCCGAACGTTGGTGAAGCCCTCGATCTTGCCCGTGGGGCTGCCGTGCGCCAGCTGCGTGCGGAAAACTAAGCGCGGGCGGGCGCGGGGCGCCGCGGGGGGCTCGGAGGGCGAGGGAGGGGGTGCGGGCGGGCGCGTGGCATCTGCCCCTGGGGTCTCGCGGGCTGCTGCGCTCTCCATGGCCAGAGGAGCTAGGCCACCCGGGCCACCGCCTCCGCTGCCGCCGGATCCGGAGCTTCCTGCGGCCTCCCCTCCCCCGGCCCAGGGCGCGACAGCCGAGCTGCCCGGGTAAGGGGATCCAGGAACCCGAGCCGCCTAGGAAGGCGACACCGCGGGGTGCGGAGGGGGAGGACGGCCCCAGGTGTCCCGGCTCTGCCAGGGCCAGCTGCGCGCTCCCCAGGGACGCTGGGCAGTCTGCGGGGTCCTGAGCTGTAGCGCGGGAAAAACATGGATCACAAATAAGGACTGGGGCAGCTGAGCGTGCCCGAGCTCTCATTCGCCTAAACTCTCTTATTTAATCCTTGCAACAGCCTTAACAGGTAGGAAGGAGTAAGGTTACCTTGATATAACCTGAGCCACATCCTGTCTCTCCTCTGCCCACAGCCCTCCAGGGCTCCCACCTCCCTCAGGGTAAAAGCCTTAGTTTTCCCAACTGCCCACATGGCCCGGTACAACCTGCCCCCATCCCACTCTGCCCTCATCTTCTCTCTCTCTCCCCCTCGCTGGCTCTGCTTTCCAGCCACAGGAGCCTCAGTTATTCCTCTAACATGCCAGGCACACTCCTGCCACAGGGCCTTTGCATGTGCTGTGCCCTCTTCCTGGAACACCTTCTTCCAGTTCTCTAGGTGGTTCCTTCCCTCACTTCCTGCAGCTCTTTGCCCAGGTGTCACCACTCTGACCACCTCTGCCAATTTCTCTTCCTGGCTTGCTTTTTTTCTTTAGCATTGAGCAGCATTCAACAAATCAGATGTTTTTACTTATCCATCTTGTATCCCCATCTCCCCAACAGGGATGTCAGCTGCAGGGGGACAGGGGCTCTGGTCTCCTGTTTCCCTGCTGTATTTGGGTGCTCCGTGCCTGGCACACAGTGAGCAGGCACTCAGGCAATATTTGGTGAAGGAATAAGTGGATCCCCCAACTTCCAGATGAAGAAGGAGGCTCCTGCACCCAGAATGCTCTGCGAGAATTCCCTAGGAATGTAATACCAGGCACCGGGAAATCTGGCTCAGTAAACAGTGGTGGAATGCCAGGCAGTGGTGTGTAAGAGGGGCCTCCACTTTGGAAGACCCTCAGAAGCCAGACATCGATAGGAAAAGCAGGTATGAGAAAATGGATGTGAAGTTGAAAGGCTGCAAAACACGACACACACCCCAGCGTGGGCCAGCCTTCAACACGGGGTGCTCGTTGAGAAGAGCCAGGCACAAAAAGCCACAGTGTGTGGTTCATTATATGAAATGTCCAGCGCAGGGAAATCCTCAGTGACAGTAAGTGCATTTGTGGAGAAGGGGTTGGGGGTGACTGCTAAGGGGGACAGGGCTTCTTTTTGGAGTGATGGAATGTTCTGGAATTAGATTGTGCCAATGGTTGCACAACTTTGTAAATACACTAGAAACCACAGAAATGTACACATTAAAAAATCGGGGGGAGACCAAAATGATCAAAATGGTCTTTTAGAAGACACACTCATGTGCTAAAAGTATGTAAAGACCTGAACAAGAGCCCTGGCTGGGTGGCTCATTTCGTTGGAGCGTCGTCCCGTACACCAAAAGGTTACAGGTTCGACCCCGTCAGGGTGTATACAGGAGGCAACCCATCAATATTTCTCTCTCAAACACTGATGTCTGTCTCTCTCTCTCCCTCCCTACCTCTCTAAAATCAATAAACATATCCTTGGGTGAGGATTAAAAACAACAACAGCCCTGGCTGGTGAGGCTCAGTGGATTGAGCACCACCCTGTGAACCAAAGAGTTGCGGGTTCGATTCCCAGTCAGGACATATGCCTGGGTTGTGGGCCAGGTCCTCAGTTGGGGGTGTGTGAGAGGCAACCACACATTGATGTTTCTCTCCCTCGCTTCCTCCCTCCCTTTCTCTAAAAATAAATAAATAAGTAAAGTCTTAAAAAAAAAACCCAACAGCTTTAAAGAAGACCTGTTAAACTCCAAATTCGGAATGGAAATACCTGTGCCAGGGAGGAGGTGGCAGGACTAGGAAGCTCATTCCTTAGGGTGGGGCGACAATGTCCCATTGTATCAGTCTCCTGGGGTTGTCATAACAAAGCACCACAAACTGGGTGGCTTAAAACAGCAGATTTATTCTCTCACAGTTCTGGAGGCCAGAAGTCCAAAATCAGGTTGTCAGCAAGACCACGTTGCAAGGCCCTGGGTAGGATCCTTCCTTGCCTCTCCTGGCTTCTGGTGGTGGCCCGCAATCCTTGGCATTCCTTGTCTCCTCTCTATGACTGTGTCCAAGTTTCAATCTTCTTATAGAGACACCAGTCATGTTGGATCGGCCACCCTACTCCAAGCTGACCTCATCTTAACTCCTGTCTGCAGTGACTCCATTTCCAAATAAGGTCCCATTCTGAAGTCCTGGGGGTTAGGACTTCGACTTTTTTTTTTTT